AAGAAGAATGAATGCTTCAGTGTCATGAGAAAACGTCAGTGAATCAGATGGTTCAGACACAGTCGTAAACGATCATGAACAGCGATTTCTGGTCAGTTATGGCCGCCGAATCCCGTAATCGTTTTCAGTCGTAAAGGCTAAGCTATGGTGATTTCCACTTGCCGTTTCTAGCTAGCGTACCTGTGTCTGTTTATGGTAGTTATAAACGGTCCGAAGCGATACCTTAACCGCCTCTAAAGTAAGCTTATGGTACGAAAGTACTTTAATATTACATATTTAACTATACGTTTACAAGAATAAAACAGTCTTTTCACTTAACCTCTTTGAGCCAATGAGTTTAACAATTAATTATTGTCTCTGTGCACCAACACATTGGTGCCGTGTGAGTGACCTAATGAGAATACCATTCTCACGATCGCAAAACTTATTCGAAGGTTAAAAATATTCTTTTTTTCACATTTGACAAAAAAGTTTAGTGTTTTCTTGATACGGTTGCAGCTATTGATGGCTCTTCGAATCATCAGCAAATTCTTATACAATTTTTGAGTTTTTTATGACTAACTTCAATGGATCGGATTTCACTTTCTTTTCATTTGTCTCGGCTCTGTTACAAGTACCGAGATATTCATATGATTCATTCAATGCCCTCTACAGTTTAGAATAGTGAATACCTCGGTATTTGTAACAGGGTCGAGACAAATGAAAACAGAAAATGAAATCTCATTTAGTCCTTGTTTAATTCTGAAACTTTCATTCAATGAAGTTGTGTCATAAAAAATCGGAAAAAGTGCACGAAATCAGAAGGTTTATTCCATCTGCGACCACATCGTCTTACAAAAACGCCGCTTTCCGTCTATAAAAATATTGTGTCGTTGCTAAGTTATGAGTTTTTCAAAAATGCTGTAGTGTCATTTTTATCAAAAGTGTTGTATATCGAAGTATAAAGCTTTTTCACCTATAAACATGTGCAGACGTTCGAGCGCAATAGAACAAGTGATGATGACTACTGCGATTCGAATCTGTGCACATACTACGGATTCTTTTTAAACCTGTGAAAACACACCTAAAAGGACGAAAGTCCTTCCTCCTGACTCATTTTCGCAAGGTAACTCTACAAAAACTGATTTCTTAATCCCCAAAACTTATGAATATCTTGATGTTCTCTACAACCTAACAGTATCAAACTGTATCCGATTTGAAGTTCATGATGGTTCTCTAAAAATCTGATTTCCATAGGTTCATCTAAGAAGGATCTATGAGAGCAAATAAATTACGGATTCATGGGCGGCATAAAAAAATCATCTGTTATAAAATATACTCCGAGAAAAATAGCGAGAAATCATTTGGTGAGGCTTCCTCATGAGGCAAAAATTCAGATACTATCATATATTCATTAAGGTCGACTTTTCTACAAAATCTCTCTTAATCTTCGATATACAAAAAAAGACAGAGGATTGTTGATCTAAAATGTGAGAAAATATTTCTTAATAATGATTATTAGTTACCGTTAATGTTCTTGCGAGTGAAAAGAGTAGAAACTGTGTATTTAACTCTTTCTAGTTTTCTTTCTTTTCCAGTTTTATTATTCATTCAATTTGTTTTTGGTTTAAATGAACTAAAGAATGTCGTCAGCACACCCAATCCTGTACGTTTAACTATAACGCCAAACTCCGGTGATATAATGAATGATATTGAATTAGAATGTCATGTGTCATCCGATATAGATATAAATGAAAATATTTACATTCGATGTTTAACCGATAATGTTCGACCGAGTGGAATATTATTGCAATATGAAAAGGGTGAGAACAAATGTATAGTGTCAAATAAATTTATGAATAATAGTCATTATGACATATGTAATAAAACATTAATTAGAATGAAAATTAACTTTACGATTATTTCAACAATAGATCAGACTATTTCTCAGGTTAAATATGAATGTCGAATTGGAAATGAGTATTATGATCAACAAACATATAGAATTATAAGTGAGTATTAATGGATTTACTAAAACCTGCTTTCCTCGTTATTCTATTTTTGTTTTGATTTGAAGAAGGGACAAACACTGTCGATTGAAGAACTTTGCGTTGTAATTTATTGATGTGTTTTATTTTTTTGTTTTTCTAGCAGCCAAACACTCTCATTCATTCGAACCATCTCATAAATCTTTATTCTCCTCGTCGCGTTCGTCATTATTTTCCAATTATAAATTGTTATTTATTAGTTATCTGCTATTATCGTTTTCCTTGTACAATTTAGTGTAAGAACGATTACAAAAATGGAATATACAGAATCTCCCGTATGCATGTTTATTTTCTGTGATAGTTAAAAGAAACAACAACAACAGCAACATTAAAAAGATAACTGAAAATATGTGAATTATTCTTTTTTTTTTGTTTACAAAACACAGTGGTTATTATATTTCTTATCGAACAGAACTATTTTTGCTACTCACTTGTTTTTTTATTACTTTCATATAGATTATTTGTAAAAAAATGTTCGTTTTAACTTTCTGCTCTTTTGAACTGTTGTGCTTATTGGTTGATCGTACAACACATTTTTCTTCTGAAGTTGAAAGTTGTGCTGATCGCTCGTTCAAAGCCTGTCTCTTCATCGGTTCAACGTTGTTAAACATGTCAAGAATAATAGATCTTATAATAGAAGCAGAAGATTCTTCTCTACATACTTGGATTTATAATGATAGTACAAGCAAAATTGATTAGTAGCACGGTCGAAAAAATATTCTACTCAAATCGCGTCCACCATGACAATATAGTATCATGCTTCCCGTTGAGCTTAAAGTACTAATTCTTCTCCAATAAACCTGAATGAAGAACACTGTTTACCAAGCAGTTTTCATACTCGATGTCTTGTTTTGTCTCATTGAAAGAAAGTCAAGATAAAATGATCGTATCAAATATTACGGTTTTTTTTATCGAACATTTTACAATTGTTATACTCTTCAGATAGGCGGATGTTGAATGTTTATTTCTTATATAGTTACGCTTATTTGATACCATTAGAATTATTCCTCTGTTGTGAATTATATTTCGATATTGTTTTTTTAATTGTGCAATCAAACTATCCTGTCTGTGTTTTATTGTCAAATGAAAGAGATTCTTTTTGTGAACATATTTTTCTTCAACTAAGCCTGATTTCTGTTAATTTCTGCTTTTTCTTCTTCTTTTACAGTCATTTGTTCGAGAATTACTAAAACAAAAGAGTCATTGTTTATTTAATGTTCAGATAGATGTATTTTATTTTTACCTTTGTTTTCAACCACGATTTTACTAGAGTATCATACTACATGTGAGCAATTTTTATTTCGTCATCGTATGTTTTGTATATTTCACACCGGTTTCTCTTTTTATTCTAATATGTTTATATGTACATTCGTTCGTAGTGAATTCATAAAAAAAACATATCAAAGGCTTCTTTTTCGATTTTACTACAACGAGACCTTTTCTTTACAACGTCACAAACATCTATACCTTGTTCCTTTGTTTCACGTTATGTTCTTTTCCTTTTATTTCCTAATAAAAAGCAAGAAAAAAGGTTTATACTGCTACGTTCATTTAAAATATTTGCCTTGTTTTATTGAAGATCAGCTGAAATAAATAGTCTATTCTTTGTGATTTAAGCATAAATGATATCACATTGTAACATATGAATCTATGGCAATAGACGCCAGGGATCCGAAAAACTAACCGAAAAAGTCGAAAGTTACTTGTGCGGTAAAAAAAACTTTAACCCTTTCGTTCCGGGTTTCTTGAAAGAATGGCGTCTCTCAGCTGATAAGCACGTGCGTCTCGTATACGAGACGCCCGGAATCAAAGGGTTAAAGAAGAAAATTCAATATGAGATCTGCACTTCGTAGAGAGAAGAATACGTGTGTACTTGTAAAGAATTGTTTGTTTTCTCTGTATATACATTAAAACTCGCAAATTAGGATAATATTTAAGGCTATATCAGGTTTTACCACATTCTACAATAAATAGAAATAATAATTGATAATTTCTTTGTTCTATTTTTAGATAAAACTTATTGTTTCCAAACTGTCTGATCAATGATTAATGTTTTTATTAACATGCAAATACAAATAATCAACCAACTAAAACAAATTTAAACATTTTTATACAACTATTGTCTTTTAAGCTTTTTAATTGTTTAATATCATTGAAATTTCATACTTAAAGCTATAATAGGATTTATTGATTAATCAAATTGATTTACTTTTCTCATGTAGTTTAGAAAAGTTTTATTAGCTCACATAACTTCTAGCTTTAGAAGAAGAAAAACCATATAAAACCTATGAAATTTATCAATAAAACTAAATAGTAAAAGTTTGACAAACAAATATATGACTGTTTTAAAATACTTTAAAAATTAAAACTTTTATCAAATGCCACAGAGAAACAAAGTACAGAGTAATAGAAAGACTGAGATACAGGGCACAGACAAACAAGTGACGTATGAATATGTTTCTTCTAGCGTCTAGGCTAAAGATAAGAAAATAAACAAGGAAGATGGCACACGAAAAGTGATAAACGCAGAGAGTAAAAAAAAAAGCAGATACATACAGAGCTTAGTGAGTCACACAACAATAGAGAAGAATAAGATGAAAAGCAGAGAATAACACTCACAAGTGAATCACATTTAACATGCCAAGTTTTTCGAGATTCATACCGTTATTCTCGTTCTCACATACATCTGTCATCACTGAAACTGAAGCGTCAAAAAATTTTAGCACTTTTTATTTGTTTACAGTTTTTGATGACTGATACTGATGTTACATCAATTACTTGTCTTTTCGCATAGACACTTATTTATGATAGACGTTCAATAGAGTGAAATTAAGATAAAATACAACGTAACCATCAAAATATTGGACATTGATAGCGCAAATCTTTTAGACCGTATCATCTTAATCTCCGTGAAAAATTTTTGTACTCTCTTTTTTTATCTTTTTCAGACGTTTCTAGATAAAATAATTGATAATGGCGACCAATTTTCCTCCGCTATCTCATCGAGAACGCAATACAAATATAACGGGTTTAAGCGCTTATTTTCCTAATACAGCTACCCATGCTGATCCAGCTCGTTTTATATGTATTTATCCAGCCTATATTAATGCTAAAAAAACACGTGTTCAAGGTAGACGTATATCAAAATCAAAAGCTGTTGATAATCCAACATTAAATGAAATTCGTGATATTCTAGGTATATTTTCTATTATTGTATATTAATATAATTTTTATTTTTTAACAAACATTTTTATCGATTATTCTTTTTAGAAAATGTTGGTATGAAAGTATTTGTTGAAGCAAATCGTTTATATCCACGTGAAGAAAATCGTGAACCACAATCACGTGGTCGAATACGTGTTCAATTGAAGAATATTGAAGGTGAAATTTTAAAACCACAATTTAAAACGCGAGATGATGTACTATATTATGTTGCTGAAATGATACCAAAATTAAAAACACGTACATCACAATCATCGGCAAGTGGTGGTGGATCATCCGGATCAAATCAACAACAACAACAAAAAAGTAGTCAAGAACAACCAAGAGGAAAAAAACGTTAATTATTTTGTTCAACTTGTTATTGATGTCTTTTAGTTATTATATTATCTTTTCTTATTTTGTTTTTCAAGGAAAAAGAAAGATAATATTTTTAAGAATGTTTGTTTTTATTATAAGTTGTTTCAATACTCCTTGATAATGATATCTGATTCGTTAATTTAGCTCTTTTATTCTAAAATTTGACTAATGTTCTTAATTTTTTATAAACATTTTTCAAAATGACAAAAATAAATCATTAAATCTAAACAAAAAAGATTCATTTATCTATTCTATTCTAGATTTATGTTAATGATATATTTTTTATCGTTTGCTATTATGCTTTTTGTTCTTTTATATTCTTTTAATATATCTGTTATGTTATTCTCTAATTTTCTGTGATATTTCTTTGTTAATCAAATGTTAAATATATTTGATTCATTATTCTCAAATGATTCATTATCATTAAACAACAAAAATGTTGTGATTACTCAATCAAATGTGAATTTATTATTTTCTCTTATTTCTAATAATAAAAACAGTGAACAACAACCATTAGAACAAGATGATGAATATGTAATCAATTGTTTAATAACTATTTTACGTCTTCTTCATCAAACATCATTGGATCAACGACATGTTGATTTAACTGCCTATATTCAAGAATTATTTCAATCTATTGAAAATTTATTTTCAAATGAAAACAACAGTGAACAATTTGGATTAAATATAATTAAATCATTAACACAATTATTACAAGATTATAATGATCGAGCAGCATTAAAAATTGAATTTTTAAAAGCAAATTGTTTGAAATCAATAGAACTTATTTTATCTAAACAAAATAATCAACTTGTTATTTGTACAATTCTATTATTTATTATTAAATTTATTTATAATTCAGAAAATGTTAGAGTAAGTAAAAGTTTTTATAGATAAATTTTATAATAAAATAAAATTTCTAATATTTATTTAGCAATCATTTCTTGAGTATGGTGGTTATGAGAAGATATTTGGTGCGTTACAACATATTCAAACACCTACAACAGAATTTATTAACGAATTAATTGGATTGGTATGTATCAATAAACTCTAAAATCGTCTTTTTCTTAAGAATGTCGATTTTTATCAGAAATATCGATTTTAAGATTTATACATAGATTGATTTTATAGCCCAACGTGTATTTATTTTCATAATCTCCATTGCTACCTTCTATGAAAATAAATTTTCATAATGTCAAAGGACGTTTTTTTTGGAAATCTTGAAAAGTACAATATTTGAATTTTAATTCTTGCCACGTTATTTATGCACTTAAACTATTTTCTAAACGCGTAAATTTATAGAGCATTTTTTTCTGATCTTAGAGAGACGTAGTACAATTCTGTGTAACTTTTTGTTAAAAAAAAGCTAACAGCCTCTCTGTACAAATCCTTCGTAAAGTGCACTTAATAATAAGTGCACGACGTTTTTATTCAAAATTCTTGTTTTAAGTTTTAGTTGTTCATTTGACAACGATTTTTTCACCATCTTAAGTACTAAAAAGTATTCAAAATGTAGCCAAGACTTGGCGCTACAAATTCACAGATCCGGATTTATTGAATTATTTTTTGTTTAGTTTTTCTCAAACTTTTATAAAAAAATTTGTAAAAAGTTTCGACTAAGTTTTTGAATAACTTCACTTTTCTCAAAAATTAGATTGAAAATCCACCACGGTTAACGATAAGTCTTTTACTGTATTTTAAGACTACCGTGGGTTTAACACTCAAAATGACGGACAAATCTTTTCCATGCACATCCACTTTTTTTTAACCCTTATTTTTAGCATACTTATGAGAAAATTAAAAGATTTTAGGCATAAACTTATTATGATCCTTCTAGCATAAGACAAATATTCAATGAACATTCTATCATAATCCGATGATCTTAGACAAAAATAGATTTCTAATAGTGAGAGTTTTTAATTTTTACTAATAAAAGTCATCTTATATTTTAATTAGATAACTGAAACGACAACTGTTCAGATGTTATGTGATAATGATACGACTCCTGCACCCGGTTCATCATCTCAACAACCTATTATTGACTTATTTGTATTATTAATTAATCCTCATATTGCTGTATCTTTAATTTATTGGTTACCGTATATTAAATCTGTTGAATCTCAACAGAAAATTGTTTATTCATTAAATATAGTTTTTTTTCGTTCATTACAAAATAAAATGACTGCATGCTCAAATGGAATTGTTATGGCATTAATTAAAATATTAGATCATAAACCACAATATGATAAAATTGTTCTCGGTAAATTTGACATTATAAAACATTTTTCTTATCTTCATATATATTATGTTTAATTTTAGATACAATATTGTCTATGTTAGAAAAATTATGTCGATTTTCAATAACACCAATTGAATTAAAACAAATATTTTCATATTATAATAGAATGCGTTCTCGTACAAAGGTAGATGAAATACATGAAAAAAAAGAAGAAGATGAAGAAGAATTTCTCTATAGAAAACAAGTATTAAGAATAATGACAACAGCAGCTAAACACGATGATCAAGATGGTGAAAATGTTTCCTCTTATTTTGATTTACAACGAACAAATAGCGGTATTATTGTTCCGTCCATAAAACGTTGGCCAGGTTCTCATATAACATTTTATTGTTGGCTACGTCTTAATCATGAAGTAGAATCTTATCCGTATGATCAACGTCGTCAATTATATAGTTTTTATTCTGATAATGGTTTAGGTTTTGAAGCATTTCTCGGTGCCGGTAGTACATCATTATATTTAATTGTTAGTGATCGTAAAGAATTAACCTATGTTGAAATACCCGAATGTGATTTAATTGATGGATGTTGGCATTCATTAACAATTGTTTATTTTCAACAAAAATCCATGTTTTCATCATTTCAAACATCAACAACATGTCATTTATCAATTTATATTGATGGATGTTTAAAAAAAGATGTTAAAGATTTTAAATATCCAACTGTATCAGAAATATTTACAATGGCAAGTATCGGTTCATCTAGCCAACGACCACATTCAAAATCATCAATTTTAAATAGTGGAAATAAAAGTCAATCAAAATTAACGGGTAAAATGGTTCAACCATTTAAAGGTTTATTTATGATGGCATCTGGTACACAACAACAAATGAATAAAATTGATAAAACTCAACAAAATGTCTTTACTACTACGGATCCAAATTGTCAAGATACACTATTTGGACAATCGACAGCGTTACATGGACAAATGGCATTTGTCTGGCTTTTATCGGATGCACTACAAGAATATGATATTAAACAATTACATGCACTTGGTAAATGAAAAAACATTAAACAAACTCAAATTCTATTGACATACAATTTTATTTTAGGAGCTGATTTTTTTCATCCTCACTCATCGCTATTACAATCTTCATCATCTGCATCCGTCATTGATGCTCAACCATTTGATCACTTAACCAGTGATTTATTAGCCACAAAAACAATTTTAGCCTATCATCCATTGGCTTGTAAAGATGTTTTATGTGTCGATATATCGGGTAATACACAAATGAATGGACGATTAAATAATGGCACATATTCTCGAATTTATTCTTATTCAAACTCACTTTTATCCATTGGTGGTGTACCAACACTTTATCCTTTATTTGAATGTTTTGATGAACAATATTATCAGATGAATCAACCAGCTATTAAATTATTTTCACCTATTGAAGCACCATTAGACACAATTCCAGGTAAGTTACACTATTAGAGCAACGAGAAATAATTTTAGGCTCTCTTATTGTTTATTAAATGAATTTTGAACTATTATCAATAAAATACATCTGACTTGTTAAATGACAATTTTATCTTTTTGTTTTTTGTTTCTTTTTTGGTATTAATAGATAGTCAAAATTGCGATTGGATTATTGTTCGTAGACGTTCTCAAAGAAATAATTCATATATTGATAATCGTCTTCAATCAAATCCATGTGCTACAATTTTAAATTTAATTCGTTGTATATTTTCATCATCAAAATATAACTCACTTCATATTGAACAAATGTGTCGGGATTATAATGTTGAAATATTACAAAAATATCTTTCATCTATTCCACAATGTTTTATTGATCAAGAATTACTCATAGCTATTCAACAAATTATTGAATGTTTAAAATTATGTGAATCAATATCGATTGTACGAACATTAATTAATTCTCTCGTACAATATTTACTTTTAGATTTTAATCTATGGAATAAAGCAAAAATAAATGTTCGAATTATGCACATACAATATTTAACAACAATTATCAAAGATGATCGAAAATTTTTTAGACATAAATTTGGTGTACAATATCTGTTGGATTGTATCAAACAACATTTCAGGTTAGAATTAAAACACATTTACAAATACAACTTACACTTTGTTAACTGTATTATCAGTGGAGTCTTTGAAAAGAAATCTCTTCAAATGTGGTTAGAAGCTTTTCTGATTCATGCAGAGTTTTTCTATGATTATTCTTGATGTCGATCACGAGTCTGATGCCTGTTTCTCCACTTATTGAGTTTCTGAATCAACTTTTAGAAATTTGGTCTCTGGAAATCCATCATAAATCTGAAAATCAAGAGAGTGTGTTCTGGATAGTTTCTAAATCTCATCGAGCTATTCACGTGTAAAAAGTCTCAACTGGTGGACAAATTTTAATTGAGTTATAAAAATGTTACGATTAAACAACTAAAAAGCTCGGGTATTTTACTATGTTTAAAATTAAAATTTGTTCGATAGTTGTGAGACTTTTTACACATGAATAGCTCGATGAGATTTAGAAACTATCCAGAACAGAATCTCTTGATTACTAGATTCATGATGGATCTCCAGAGGTCAGACTTTTAAAGGCTCGTTGACAAACTCAATAAGTGTACAAGCGGACATGAGATTCGTGATAGAACTGGCAGAATATAAATATATATTCGCGCTCGACGGTCAAATACTGATACTATTAATAATATACCTGAAAAAACATTTCTATGGAAACTTTCAAATTCAGTGATATTTTACATGCTATTAGAGAATGAGGAAGTTTGCGTAAAACTATTGATCATTGACTAAGAAAAATCTATACTATTAATATTTAACAAAAATAATTCAAATTAACTGGCTAGTAATATATGTTTATCTGATAACGTCAAATCGTCAAATAGAATATCTAATCAAAAGCAATCGACTGTTATTAAAATGTTCTTCACTAATTTAATATAAAAATATAGTTAACCCATATTCATCCAGCTCTGATTCGTAATCAGCATGAAAAATAACCATAGGAAAACTGGCTATAATTAGAAAAACCTTTGGATTATCTTGGAAGTTTTCCTTGTTAATAGAAAAAAGGACATGTTTGTTTGCTAAATATGATATTCGTTTTAAAATATGAGTCGCACTTAGCAGTACTAATTTTATATTTCAATGTTTCTTCTTACTTTAGTCATTCTGATGATGACATTGAAAATGAATCAAAAATAATTCGTACTGGTATTATAAGTATAATGAAATTCTACATGCAACGTAAAATTAAATTTGATGAATTAAATTCTATTTTATCCTTTATATCGACGACAACGTCGAACGATATTCTCGTTCAGGAAATGCTTAACTTTATTATTGCATTACTCGAAACATCTGCATCGTCAGAATTAACTATTACATTTCTTTGTGAACCAAATATGGCTGATAATTTGTATTCATTAATCACTATTAAAGATCTAGCAACAGTAACAAAAGAAAAAACACTTCAGGTAAGAACAAACAGAAAGTTTTTTCCTACAAAACAAACTCTGTATGTACAAGTTGTATGTTGATAATAATCATCTCTATTCTTAGGTAAAAACTTTTGCAAAAAAAAACAGTTCAGTTTTTTATATCTAATAATGAACAATGTGTTTTATCTGTTTCAGATAATCAAATATTTGTTAGCGTCAAAACGTGTTCCAGTTCAAGTTAAATCATTGTTAAGATTAGAAAATAATATTGGCTTTGGTGGAATTATATCGTCATTGAATTCAAATGAGTTATCTGTAGCAATTGTTCGTGAAATACTCAATATTGTTACTATGTCCGGTAAGAAACAAAAGTTAAAAAAAGTTGTTGAATTTCAGTTGTTTTAATCATATCTTTTTTAAGATAATACAATTGCTGTTGATCATTTAAATATAATATTAACATTGTGTAGTGCAGCATCACTTGACGTACGATACGTTGCAATGAGAAAAGTAAATGGAACTAAACTTTACTTCTTTTCATATTCTGTAACCTTCTATTTCTCATTTTAGTTAATGTCATGTTTTATTGCACATCCGACTGCTTGCAAAGCCTATTCGAAGTGTTATGGTTGGCATGAAACATTAGCTCATTTTTTTATTAAAACTCGTCATCGTTCATTATCAATAATTAAAAGTGATCAATATGACACAGTTTCTCCTAATCCGCGTCCCTCATTATCTTCAACATCATCACTTGATCAATTAGCCATATTAACAAAAACTGGTAATGATTCTGGAAATATCAGTGATTATCTTATTAACAGTGCTCAACAACTAAATAGTGATGGTCTACTAACAACTCAACCTCTTCCACCAAAAGTCTATGAAATATCGTCTAGTCCAGAAGATCCAAATCAACCATGTCAAGTACGTGAAATATTATTATCACCAATCACCTCTCAAGAACAACAACAAGATGATGAAAATATAACACCAAGAAATTCTTTAACGCTCAGTTCTTCATCCTTTTTATCACCACTCATTACAAATTCATCAAGAGACTCAGCCTTAACCGGTACACCCGAGTTTATTCGACGAAATACCAAAGATAATTTTGATTCTGAAGATCTAATAACCACAACATCACCATCATCAGTATCCGATTTTGATAGTAATGCAGGTGGAGATTTAATTTCATCAAAATCAAATGAAGATTTTTCATCGGTTCTAATTCGTGACTCAGCTCGTACATGCCAAACAGAGCCAACATCACCTGTTGAAAAACACAATGATTATCATTCGCAAAATGGATGTGATTTATCATCTAGATATAAAAGTACATTAAATATAGATGATTCGAGTAATAATAATACTGTTGATGGAGAATATAATGAATTTATGTCAAAACTTAGAAATATTTTAGGTTTGCCTTTAACACTGTCTATATCTTCATGTAGCTATGTCATGGCTAAGGTTTTTTTTATTGTTAAGCAATGAAAAACATGCTCGCTAATGCTACATTAATTTAACTCCGATAAAAAAACAGGTTCGAGCGGTTGAAGTACCTATTTCTTCCACTGAGTTACTAAGTCAGCGTTGCACGAAGTCGTTAAATCCACCTAAAACTGTTTAGATCCTGTCTACCTAGTACATGAGCATCCTATACGAACTTTTATTGTCACTTTATTTTAATTCGGACATTTCAATTAAAATCGAATATTTTTGATTCGTTTAATGCGTTTAAACTATCTACTATTAAATAATGCGCTGTTATAAAATTGAATGAAAAATTTTGTTTTGCTAAAATTAGATCTATCGTAGATGCTACGGCTTTGTCCTCTAAATATAAAGAATTCATTACATCAAGTTAGTTCGATCACTCTTCCTGTTTTGCTGCTTATTTGCTTTGAGAAAACGTTGAGAGCTTGTCGTTTCTACTAGTCAAAATACGTTGTTGAAACATTTTCTTTATAATTAAATAATTTTTTTCTATTTAGGCATAACAAGTACATCATGTATCTATGATGAACTTTTCAAGAGTGATGTTAGTTTTGATGTTAATGCACAAGAATATTCTAGTAGTTTACTTGAAGAACTATGTGAAACATTAATACTAGCCATTGTTATGATACTCTGGAAAGGAATAACGGGTTCAGATGATGATAGTTGGAGTGTAAGTATTTTCTTTCGTTGTTAATACAATTTCAAAATGATTTTTTTTATCTAATTAAATGTTTCTCGTTTGACATATGTTTTTTATCTTTCAATTTTAAATGAAATAATAGTGTGTAGAGGTTATTCAATAATTAATTCTTTCATTTGTCCTTCTATTTAGTTACGTGGTCAAATATTTTCAGCATTACGTCATCTAAATAAAGAATATGAATTTTATTTACCATTGACTTATATTGAAAGACGCATACTTGAATTAAGTTTAGAAACATGTTTAAATGATATTGAACAAAATGGAGGTTTGTAGAATAATTTCTTTTTTTATTCTTGAAAATAGTTCGTTTTTCCCCTATTGTTATTTGTTTTTATAAAATAAATATCTTAATGTATATTTATTTAAGTTTATCGCAGTTCTCTCAATCGTTTTTATCTTCGTCGAGCTACATTGCACGACGTTCGTAAGTAACATACATGATGTATAACTAGTTGTTGTCACTATTAAAATTAGTGTACTATGTGTGCGTGTACACAATACGTCGTATTCTTCTTCTAACTTTTAATTTGTCTCATCTTTATAAAAAAAAAATGATATTAAATATTGTTTCTCTATTTTAGGTCAAATAACACCACTTCAAGATGCTAATTGTCGTGAATTAATTAAATTAGTAGAAGATTTTTTAACAGAAGATAATCATTTGGAATTAAGAATTAGTGATAATTTAGTAAACGGTATATTAGAAGAAATATCTTTACAATTACTGTATAATTTGTGTTTATTTATAAAATAGGTACCATTCATTTGTTAGATGCATTGCTTGTATTTGAAGAAAATGTGGATTATCAAGCGCCTATCAATGAACAATGGACAGAAATATCTTTAACTGGTTTAAATTTGTTACTTATTCTTTTAGAAAATGATAATGTTTCACATTGTGCAGATGCCAGTGTTCGTATTCATAGTCTATTACATAGTCGTCCATTAAATGGTAAAGAAGAAGCATCATATCTTATTACATGTGTTAATCGTATTATGTCAATTAAAAGTGAAAATCAAGAACATTATCCATATTTAATACCTATTATGAAAACACTTGTAGATAAAAGTTATTATCTATTACAAATGAATGTTCAAATACCAAATATTCCACTACATAAAGCAGCACCCTCATTTTTAGAAGATTTTAAATCATATTGTCAAACAGCTGAATGGTGTACATTTATACAAAAACAATGTCAACCACTTAGTGAACATTATAAATCAATGAGTATAAAACCATTTAAAATGAATATGAAAATATGGTGGAATAATACATATGAAATGATGATGATTGGTATACACAAACGAAATAGACAAATTGGAGAAGAAAAATTAAGATTTCAAGTAATTAACTATTCATTTTTTTGTTTTTGAAGAAAATAAATATTTCTCTTAATCTATATATTTTCTTTTTTTCTTCTTTTCTTTTCTTTTAAAGAGTCAAATACTTGAATTATGGCGTGCTCGTCGTCGTACTGATCAAACACGTTATTCAAAATTTTTAAATCTTCAACGTTTACATCAAGATCATGTTGATACAGAATGGTATGAAAAACAAAAATATTTTGAACGTGAACGTGGTCCATGGAATTCATTTTTATCAAATCATATCCGTTGGATGTTATCATCACGTGAAAATATTCATCGTATGAGATGTAAATTAATTGAAAATTCTAAATTTGATGAACATGAAGAATCAAGTCGATTACGAGATAATTTAGATTGTAATACATCAGATGAATTTAAAAAAAAATTATTTGAAGAAAATTTAAAAAATAAAGAATTTTTAATTCAAAAAGAATTATTAGTAACAACTGATGAATCAAATGAGGAACAAATATCTCCTAATCAAGAAGCACAAAATAATTTATTATTAGAAGAAAAAGAAAAAATGGTAATTGGTAGTAAATGTTCATTAATAACAATTACATCAGTAACCGAGGGTAATTTCTATTCATTATAATTATCAACTTTTTCTATTTAATTTTTATTTTTTTATTCTATTTTTATTTTAGGTAAATTAGAAATAACAAATAAATATATTTATTTTTTTGATTTTATTTCGTCAAATAAAAATGATTTAAAATATCCACTTCATTGGTTACAAGATATTCATTTGAGACGTTACAATTTACGACCATCAGCACTTGAATTTTTTTTAATTGATCAAACAAATTTTTTATTAAATTTTGATAAAAAAACACGTCGACAAATTTATCAAAAATTAATGTCATTACGTTTACCAAATATGAAAAGTGTCTTTTCAATATCATCAACTATTACACCATCAGAAATATTGCGTGAATCACGTATTACTGAAAAATGGGTTAATCGTGAATTATCAAATTTTGATTATTTAATGATGTTAAATACAATAGCTGGTCGAACATTTAATGATCTTAATCAATATCCAATATTTCCGTGGATTGTCAAAGATTATAAATCAGAAAAATTAGATCTTACAAATCCAGAAACATTTAGAGATTTATCGAAACCAATTGGAATACAAAATCCAAAACATATGGCTGAAGTTAAATTCAAGTATGACAATATTTGTGACTCTATTTTTTGAAACTTTTACATCAAATAATGTACAACGGTGGGACTATATATCACAAATGTTGTATAATGAACAAAAACTTATTAAATAAGAGATAATGTATGACAGTGTTACACTTGTATTATTGTCATACATTATCTGTTACTTAATGAGCTTTTAGTCAACAGTTTCAGAAGGTAAAAAAGTAACTATTTTTGATTAATATTTCTAGTTAATGCAGCTGTGTCTTGTTTTATTATCTAATTAAATAAGCACTAAAAATTTTAATTCAATTTATTTATGATATTTTGCTCTATTTATTTGAACATTATCAAACGTAAAACATAAACATGAGAGAAACTGTATAATTGTTCTATATATACAAAGTAAAGTGGATGATAAAAGAACGAAAAAGTTGAGTAAACTTTTAAATAACATTATTCTCAAAAATATTTTATTATAACATCTTTTTGTCATTCTTTTATCATTCATTTTACTTTGTATATATAGAACAATTATACAGTTTTTCTCATCTTCATGTTTTATGTTTTGTAATGTTCGAATAAATAAAGGAAAATATCATAAATAAAATTAAACTTTTCATTGCTTATTTAATTAGACAATAAAAATTATACACAGTTCCATTAACTAGAAATATTATCATTATCATACATTATTTGACGTAAGAATTTTTTATAGTGCAGTCATTCAATATCGCTGATGATTGATTTTCATTTTTTAGATACGAGTCATTTGATGATCCATCTGGACTCATGAAAAAGTTTCATTATGGTACTCATTATTCAAATGCGGCCAGTGTCATCCATTATCTGATAAGAATGGAACCATTTACTACTTTACATATTCAATTGCAAAGTGGAAAGTAAATAAATAGTTCTTTTTTTGTCTTTTGACTTTAGTATATATATGTCAATTTTTGCTTTTTTCCAAGGTTTGACATCGCCGATAGACAATTTCATTCATTTCATAGTTCATGGCTAAATATTCTTGATAGTCCAAATGATGTAAAAGAGTTAATACCAGAATTTTATTATCTACCAGAGTTTTTAATTAATTCAAATCAATTTGATTTGGGACGTTTACAATTAACAAACACAATATTGAATGATGTATATAAAAGACTCTGTTTATTATTTAACGTTTTATATTTCATTTGTTTTCATGTTTTATTTTAGGTTGAACTTCCACCGTGGGCTCAAAAATCTGTTGAATGTTTTATTTATCAAAATCGTTTAGCATTAGAATCTGATTATGTCAGTGCTCATTTAAATGAATGGATCGATCTTATTTTTGGTTATAAACAGCAGGGTCAAGAAGCAATTGATGCTTATAATGTATTCATGTATTGTTCGTATGAGAAAGCCATTGATGTTGATGCTATTAAAGATGAAATAACGAGGCAAGCAATTGAAGGCATGATTCAAAATTTTGGTCAGATACCATCGCAACTATTATTCGAAGAACATCCAAAACGAAAGACAAAAGAGCAAGTACTTATCGACTGTGAAGTACAAGGAAAGTAAGTCTTTTTGTTTTATTTGTAGATGGTGTTAATAGTCTATTTCTAAACTTTTTCTATTTAGGGCAATGAATATATTTTTAAATTTGGGTCATATTCGAGCATTTTTTGTTGAAATAACATCACCGGATGAAAAATTATGTGATCCAATAACATTTATAAGTATTCCCAAAAATCAAATACGTTCATTTATGCAACAAGGTATACCAGACACATTAGTAACAGTGAGTGTCAATGGAGTTGTGGGAAATAATGGTTGGCAACCGTATGATAAATCATTGAGTAATTTTTTTACATTTGAAAGAGATCCAACATTACAAACAGAAAGGTGAGAATAATCTAAATCACATAATATTTATTCTAAGTATTCATGCCATTATTCTTTTCCTGTTTTAGAAATCGTCATATCATTGCTGCTCCATTTGCTCCTGGTCTTGAAATAACATCAAAATTATTTTCGACTAGTCACGATGCCAAATATTTGTTTAGTGGTGGTCATTGGGATTTTAGTTTACGTGTTTATAGTTTATTGAAAAATAAAATTATTTCAAGTGTAATCAAACATCTTGATATTGTCACATGTTTAACATTAGATTCTACAGGGACTATTCTTGTTTCCGGTTCAAAAGATAAAACATCCATCACTTGGCACGTTCAAGAAATGGCAGTAACAACGCCAACAAATAAGAGTAGTAGCGGTAGTTTAACATTAGTACCAACAAATATACTGTATGGACATGATGCTGAAATAACATGTGTAGCTATATCGATTGAGTTAGATGTTGTGGTGTCCGGTTCACTCGACGGTAAGTTTTTTTAATAATAATAATTTGAGTAAGAGAACAAATAGATTGGTATCACATTGCCTTTAATAGGTACATGCAACATATACACAGTCCAAAATGGGACATACATTCACACATTGTATCCAACTGGTCCAAAAGCAACTTTGCTGCCGAATGTTGAATTACCTCCTACATTTCAAACTCTAACTGTTCCAATTCGACAAATTCGATTATCAGATGAACGACATGTTCTTGTGCAAACAAGTTCAGATGATGATTCATCAATGTTACACTTGTATTCAATAAATGGAAAATTAATTCATCGAGAACCAATTTCGTATTATGTGGTCGATTTTCTTCTTTGTGATAGTAAATATGTTGTCATTGCTATTAACATCTTACAACATCATCAACAAAAACATTCACCAGCACCAATATCAGGGACGACACCAAAATCAACTGTTGTCGCAAGAATTATTATCAAAGACATGTTCGAGTGCGTATAAAATTATTCAACATTAAGCATAAATTTCTACGCTAGTTTGTTGTAGACACGATCACATTCTACTTAAATTAGTCTTTAGAACATTTTTAACTATGATGTGTTAATGAACACAGATACCTGCTAGTTCGATTTCTACCTTGAATTTATTAATTTATCTATCTATTTTTAGTATGAAAACAATTCAAACAATTCGTTTACGTACTCAAATTAATTGTTTACATTTTACAAAAGATTTTAGTCATCTTTTAGTTGGTGTTAAAGATGGCAAATTAATTGTCTTAACAGCTGAGAAAAAAGCAAATAATTCTACAACAACAGCCTCAAAACTGATCAAAAAATAGACGTTCGTTTTTCTTTTTAGTATTGTCTTCTGTTTCGAGTTTTCTTATTCTATTTTTCTCTGTTATTTCTGTACAACAGATGGATTGTTGTTGTTGACTCTTTTATTTCCAAATTCCGACTTATTTACTGATGATTGTATAGTGTCTAGTTCTTCATTACAACATTCCACATTTTTCGCAATTTTCTTTAATTGTCAGATTTAGTTCCCTTAAATTTTATTATCTGGCATTTCATATTGACTCATTTGTGTACGTGCATGTATTTCTTTTTAAAGTTAAAATCCGTTTGAATATAAAATGTGAACAAACAATTTTTCGCATATATTTTTTTTATGAATATGTTGTTGTGCTTTTCTTGTTCTCTCTCTTTTGTTTCTAGTGTCCGATCTAGTTGTTGTGGTTGTTATGTTCAGTTCTTTTGTTTCTAATTTATATGTGACGTAATTTTTGAAGATGAAAAATAAACAAACTATAGACAGTGCATTATCATTGTCAGTGATTCTATTACTGATTTGTACCGCTGGTGTTAATATTCAAAATATTCTACAAAAACGTTTTTGCGATGTCAATAGTGATGGTGAACAAATTAAAAAGATGGCATGAACGAAGAAATCTCACAATTAGAACAGTATATAGACTCCTATATTTTGTAGATGAAAGCTATTCATCTTTTATAAAGTACGGGAGATTCAATAAACTCTTGTTGAATAAGTACATACCACACTTGTGTTTTAATGAACTGGTAAAAACATTTGTACTCTAAGTGTCGTACTGAGCACTGTACGCAGTGTAGTCTGGTTGACTTTAAATGTTAACTTTGGACGCGGAGTGTTATCTCGTTAAGGTTAACAGTAGACAACAATGTGAACATTTCACAAAAAATTAAAGATGCAACTGTTTCACATCTAGCTGAAGTAAAATAAACTTCGATATCTGGCCTAGTTATTGCCGTAAACGATTTGGTTTGAAGTGATGATTATATTAGAAAAAATCGTTCTGAAATTAAAATACTTGAACTTAAATACGTTATCTTTCGTTCTTATGGATTGAAACTCGAACTATGAACTCAGATATCATCCCTTTAATTAATGTTTTCCTTTGCGGTTATGTCTCTTTTAAGAGGAAATGTTAAGGCCTGGATAAATCATTTCTTAGTCATTTGACCATATTGCCGTTTATTCAAGGAGAAAAAGGCACAACAAGATAAATGTACCCATTCCAAAATACGTCTATTGTAGAGTGTCATCACATCTCTTTCTCCCTCATGCGGGAGAGTAATGAAAAAATAATATAAATTCTATGCCTTCTTTTAATCTTTACTGCGCGCTACAAACGTACAAACGCAAATTTTTGCTTGTATTTAGACTCAAAATTAAGAAGTTTCTCTTATTCGAGAAAGAATAGCATTTCGCCATTCCGGAATGTGTTTTATACTCCTTGAATTTATTTTGCTATGATGACTATTTTAATCTAATTATTTTCTAACATATATATTTGTTGATAATCATTCATGTTTTTTTAAAACACAAAAAACGATAACACTTATAAAGTAGAGAAAAACAGAGAAAATTGTCTGAAAGAGAAAATGATGAATGAATGTCTGGTATTTATATGCCAGAAAAAAAGCTTTATGAAAAATATGTATACAACGAGATAACTAAAATGAGAAGATCCATATATTAACAACAACAGATGGTGTATCTGGTACAACACTGACAACACAGTGCATTATCTAATTAGTTCATTTTGTTCACTGTTTATGTTTTGATTTTTCATGTTACGAGGAGAAAAGACTCGTTGTTTGTTCGGTAAGCGTCAAAAAAAAGAGACAATTAATCTGACAAAAAAGCAATATTCACGGACACAAAGAAAAAATAATACGCTGAGAACAGAAAAGCTTAAAAACACGCTACATAAAATATCTCTATGGAAGATAAATGAAAAAATATTGCCGGACAAATATCTCAAATAATAAAAATGACAAGACGAGTACAAAAAAACATACACTCATTTGTTTTCAAAACACTAGTGCGATGTAGATTTGAAATAAAAAAAAGACACTACAATATTATTGCAACTGATTTTTACACTGGAGTGACGAAATAAGAGTGAGAAAGGAGGTAGATAAGAAGGTGAAAAACACACTTCTTGAACGCCATTTATTGAAGTGCAAGCCAAAGCCAGCTTATAGTAGAAAAAAACGCGTTTTCAAAATGAAGAACATTATTAACAATTTTTTTCTTACTTTACGTAGAAGGTACGCGTCTTTGTAAAAAGATAAACAAGTCTGACTTTATCAATACAAAAAAGATATATTGATGAAAAAATCTAGTCTAATAAATGTTCTACATAATTTCCAGGAAATAGACCTCTGATACCCGGCTGCATGATTCCTTCGTACCATCCATCATCATTCTTTGTAATTACAAATATAATTGTATTTTCTTGAAATGTTAGCTCATCTTCTCGTTGACTCTCATAATCGTAGATGGCAATAACTTTTTCTAAATATTCAGCTGGCGCCCAGTCGAAATCATCTCCACTTTTTCCTCGTCCATATCCACGTTGTTTTCTTGGCAATGTTGCACATGCTTCAAAGAAATGTGATGGTGCTTTAGGAATAAATTGTGGTAAATAAGATTCATTATTTCCATTCGTTACTACAGATGTTGCTTGAGTTGGATCGTATGAGTCCATGCCGGATGTTAAACGAATTGAACCAATGACTGATGGTGGTTGAGAACGAGAACGAATCGCACTTGATTGGTGTAGAATATCACACGGATTACTGGCATTTACTAATATTTGTGGGTTGTATTGAGGCTGATGCATTATCACTGTATTATTTAGAATTCCGTTGTGCCGAGTAGCATAAACATTTTCGCTTACATACGATAAATGTAGTGGTGTAACTGGATTAGTGATTTTGTCATTATACAATAAATGGGGATGATTTCTATTACCGCTCATTATACCTGAAAAAGAAAGAAAGTACATTTCGTGGAGTTGACTTTCTTATCTAATCAATATACTTTCGAAATAGTAACTTGACAATAGATCGCTTATTAGCATATTTCAGTCAAATCATTCATCTAACTAAGAAGAAATTCTTAGCAAAAATCTAACTAATCACCTTGTTGTAGCAATATTGAAGGATGAGTGTTTTGATGTTGTTGTCTTATTGTTCCGTAGTTGTCTTCCGGAGCGCGATGTTGATACGAGTGTTGCTGCTGTTGATATTGACTTGCACTATAAAGATTCTGATTTTGAGCAGCTAATTCTTGTCGACTAGCGTACTCAGGAGGAACTAGCGGAGGTGGAGGTGGAGGTTGCATTGAACGTTGATAAATTAGTGAGCCCGTTGCTTTCGATAAACTAACATTGGCACTTTTTGGAGGTGGAGGTGGTTGTGTTAATGGCGCTCCATTAGAACGTTGGGTATCCATAGTTGATAAACCATTATTATAAATTAAATGACGAGATTTATTTTCTTGGCGATTTAATCGAACTCCATGACCTGCAGTAAAATAAAAATATGTTTACAGCTAATTGGCGAATTGGTCAGACTTTGAAATATGATACTCCGTTATTCTTCTTGTCCAGGAAATAGACTTTTTGTATGATAAGAGCAATTCGAACTTATGAGTCTTTTCTACAGGTTTATTAAGTTCAGATTCAGTGATTAATCTACTCTCTACATTCTCGGATTTATGCGCAGGATTGAAGTCAATCAGCATTAAAGAAAAAGTTATCGAATGGTTCAAATTCAATGATTTCGATTGAAAGGATAGTTTCTCTGGATTCTGCCATCTCTTTTCGTCACGAAAAAGTGTTGTACCCAATCCTTTTTCCTGCATAGCGATTCCCTCGAACATTGGAAATACCCTTGTTGATTTTTGTCTCAATACGTTATTACTGTATCGTGGGTTTCTTCTCCCGAATATTTAAAACAGAACTTTATGATCTGACTCATACACAGTCAATATTCTGCACAATAACTGATAAGAGAGAAAATTATTCCCATACCAATATCGTCTAATAACGAATAATCAAGTGACTTTCTAACGTATCTGACTAATTTTTCTGGATTATTGGGTTTAATAAATAATGGTTGCCGACCAATAATTTTATTTGTTGTCAATGTTCCAATTTCTCTTCTCGCTACTTTTTCTTTATGTACATTTGTCTCTTCTGTCAATGAATTTAAACTAAATTCTAATTCATTGAATTGATTTGATTGAAAATCAAGTAATTGCAGAAAACTTGTGGCAATTGTATTAATCTGATAGGCAACACTAGCAAGCTAATTGAGTGAAAAAAAAAGGACAGCGTAAAATGATTTTGAGGTAGTGACAATAACACTAACCGATTGAATGGCATAAGATTTTGTTTCCTCAAGCACTTTTGATTTATGACAATTGGGTACATTCAAATAATTATTCTGACAAAAATCGGCTACCTTTAAGAGATTTAAAGCATTATCAGCTAAATTTCTTTTCAATTGTGGAAGTTCTGATTGTAAGATGTAGGATATATCTTGGAATGGTTCCATTTCAGACTTATTATTATTGTTGCTACTATTGTGACTATTAGAAACGTGCATTTAGTTAACGAACAACAATGCCAGTTTACCTAGAAATATATCAAATATAGATGTTTACATATCATAAGTAAAAGAGAAACTTTCCTCACATTTAGAAAATGTTATATTGCATTTTATTTCCTTGACCAATTAGGAAAGATCAAACGACCCGTGGTATCTACAAACTGTAGATACCACGGGTCGTTTGATTTTTCTGATGTACTGTAGGCTGGTACTGTAGACTACAGTACCCATCAGAAATGCGTGATAAAACGCTGATTTTATGTATACCAGCAGTCCTCTGAAGAATCAAGCAAATTTACCAAGAATTTCTGCTCAAAACATAACAGAAGCACATGTGGTATAGTAGAAAAACAGTGTTGATAATGATTAGTGTTCCGCGAGATAACAGACTGAGGTGACTTTCGCCACGAAATCTGATTTTCATCCTGTTTTACAGCAAAAAACAGAATTTCACTTTGGTTTTCTTTTTCTGCATAAAATGTGCTTAAATTTTCTTGTAGCCCGAAGACTGCTTGGGAAAAGTTTCAAGCCCCTAGAGCCTAAACTCCCAGTTTGTATTCCTAACTCTGTTAGAAACGCTAGTGAAAAACATAAGAAAGTTTTTACGAAATGTGCGGTAGTCACGAAGGAAAATTTTCCAGACTTACGTTGCAATTCGCACAACAGAGCAAAATTGATCGTTTTTCTATACAGCATCCTGGTTCAGCCAGAGCAACTTAATACAATTCTAGCTGGCTATACTCATGTTACTCTTGCCTTCCTAAAATAATAAAATTGAATATATAATAATGATGTGTCTATGTATACATGATTGAATGCTTCCTGCTCCTTGCACAACTGTCATTCGTAACCCTTAAAACAAATCAGATAGTAGTATATATCCTTACTACAACTGTCGGTTATCGATCCGCAATTTTGTGTTTATTCTACATGAATAAAACTAATTGAGCAATGAGATTGAGCATACTACATTGTCATTAAAAATACAAGTATTCTATTACTGATTTGTATATTTAGCGGAAGCTAGCTCCGTTTACAGAATCACAGAATAAATGAATGGCTTTTCGCACTCATTCTTAAAAGACATCCAAACGAAGGGAAGTGAAGGGAAAGGCTGAGGGTGATCAGCGAAAGCTGAACAGAACCCCCTCTTTTTCATCTCTTGGCAAGGTGGAGTGAAAGATTCGATCGACCCCAATTTTTTTAACTGCAGATTCTTGACACCTTATCCTAGGTTCTAAAGTCTAGCCATTTAATTTATAATAATGGTTTATCAACTATGGATACCCAACGTTCTAATGGAGCGCCATTAACACAACCACCTCCACCTCCAAAAGGTGCCAATGTTAGTTTATCGAAAGCAACGGGCTCACTAATTTATCAACGTTCAATGTAACCTCCACTCTGTAATTATCAGTGTGTACTACAGGCAGTAGTGGTCAGTAGGAAAAAAATTGCTATACCTCGCCTAAGGGTACACCTGCAGTCGACCTGCAGGGCAGGGCAGAGCAATGCAGAAGTTTTCACCCTCAACCTGTGCCTGTGCCGAACAAAAGATTTTTTTGCTAACCTGCAATGCGGGTAGATTTTATTCTGCCCCTGTGCGTTGCACAGGGGTGAAAAATTATGCAGGTGATCAGCTCTGGTACAAATCAGTAATAGAATCACTGTCTATAGTTTGTTTATTTTTCATCTTCAAAAACTACGTCACATATAAATTAGAAACAAAAGAACTAAATATAACAACCACAACAACTCGATCGGACATTAGAAACAAAAGAGAGAGAACAAGAAAAGCACAACATATCATAAAAAAAATATATGCGAAAAATTGTTTGTTCACATTTTATATTCAAACGGATTTTAACTTTAAAAAGAAATACATGCACGTACACAAATGAGTCAACATGGTCACAAGACGATTCACAAGATGGGTCACAAGAGTGGCATGGTTGATTTGGATCTTCTGGACCAGACGATACTTGATAGACTAAGTCAAATTTTAAAAAAATGAGAGATATATATTCTTAAAGGTAAGAAGTTGAACTATCGACTACTATAAATAGTTTTTTGTCTGAAACCTTTCCTATATCGAGAAAAAACTACTTTTCCCTATATTCAGCGCTTTTCCACGACATAGTCGTAGGAAAGTCAACGCGCAAATTAGCGCAGAGGATCAATCTAGCTGAAACCTTTACGATAGGTTCACGTACAGATGACACATCCACAATGTATGCGAAAGATGCGAAAACGTTTCGTTGTAGAGTTATAGATTTTCCAAAAACTCTGAATTTTCAGAGGTTTTTAAATTTTTTTCGTCTAAAAGACTACTTATGCTCACAAATAAGAACAGATTCAGAATCAGCGCGAAAAACTGCATCTAAAGATGTGTGTCGGAGGTATTTCTCAATAAAAACTGTTTCGATTTAGTGTAATGTGACGGTTTGAGCGTATTGACATAGCAATGTTGGCTAGCCACGTGGACATGTGCTAGAAAAGCGGTACGAAAGTCTCTAAGCACTGTTTTTATAGGTTTTCGTATATGCTCTTTTCAATGCGTAGTCTTGAAGTCGTAAAGCTTTCAAACTAGGTTTGTACCGGTTTTCCAGAGATCCGATTTCTGAAAAACCAGTTCGAACATACTTTGGAAGTTTGAAGACACGTCCACGTGCCTAGCCAAAATTCCCCACTGTGAGGTGTGACGGACGTACATACATATAGTCATGTCGTATGACGGACGTACATACACAGAATCACTAATGAGTGTCACGGATACAGATCCACATGTTTACATGCGCGGGGGTTTTCGATGGAATCAGAGAAGTTTATTTACACCCATTTTAGCTGCGAGCGCGGACCGAAGGAACGCGTGAGCATTGTCTGGACTTTAGAAATATTTTTAGACCTCTGGAGGTCTTTGGGTATCTCCAGAAAACTTGTATAGATTTGTACTACATTATGAAGCTTACACACCAAATCAGAGAAATACTCATAACGCATTGTAGATACTCCCTAGCGAACACTGACCGAAGAGAGGTGTGAGGGTTGTCTTCTATTCAAAGTCATGGAGAGTCGTTCGCAGATGTAAGTTTCTAAAGTCAAGGAAAGCGAGTGCGGGCGAACGTTACGTTGTTTTCTCTCTCATGCTTAAAAACGTTTCTACTTTTTTTCCTTATGATTGGCTTACTCATGATATATCCGGCAGCCGCTTTTCCATGAACGAGGCAAAATGTGATCCTCACTTAGGTTTCTTTATGCAGAGTAAAAAGACTGAGAGATTTTTGGTAAGATTACATTCATTTCGAAAGTCTGTATTACAGATAAAACCAAATCTAATTACACAGACTCGATGAACTACACAAATTGGCTAAACAGCGCTATTACGCTTTCAAACTTTTGCGAGTCATAACTTGGGAATTCATACATTCATTCGTCTTACCGGCAATGGACTTAGTAAACCGATGCGATTCACGTGATTTATTCCATTGACTGTAAGTCTATGATCATACGAAATAAATTGTTTATATTTGTGTCCGTACACAGGTGTTAAGGACGTAAGCACACACGGTGTCGGGCGAACT